GTAATAACTTAGTCAAACATCCAATACGATGCTTAATATGAGGTAAAGATAAGGGTAAGGAAAGCAACACACGTAGCCGGACCAAGGTGCGGAGTGAGATTTTCTAGATGCCGGACCAAGGATTTAGAAATACATAACTTATCACTTTGCATGAAACATACTAGGAAAGAATTGTTATAGTTAGAATTATCAAGTTATGAACCTGTGGGGACCACGTAAACCCTAGTTACTTTGATTAATTGATTAAAACCCAAAATTAAAAGCTGTTAATTGTCTCTTTCAAGTTCGTTGTTTATTTTCACATATTTAGAGATAGAACCCCCCTTTTTCTGTTTTTACTTTCTAAGGAAGTCATCAACCGAACAATAGTAATAACAAGTTTAAGTTAAGTCTAAACTATTTTCCTCGTGGGAACGATCCCAACCTCACTAGTTGGGTTATTTACTTGACGCGACCGCTTTACTTCTCATTTGAGAAGTAAGTTTGAGCGTATCATCTATGACAGAAGTTAGGAGTTTTGTGGGGCTCGTTAGCTATTATAATCGGTTTATAAAGAATTTTTTCTTCTATTGCAACTCACTTGAGCAATTTGACCAAAACGGAGATACCATTTGAATGGACTGAAAAATGTGAGGAGATCTTTTAAAAGATCAAGACTATCTTGACCTGTCACAACCTGAGAGCATCCCCAAGTTGTGCCACGCCGTACTTGACCCTGAAGGAGTCTTGTACAAGTCTCTAAACATTAATTCATCACATAGGTAATAAACATATTGTAGAGTTAAAACTTTTTTCAATAAAACCAACATTCAAATACACAATTATAAAGCAACGAAAATAATAAGTCTCACGTGGCGATCTAGGACACAATCTTAACTATATAGGGACACAACCCTTTACAACTGAAAGAATTACTAAAATGTCTATTGCGTAAATAGTTATACATTATACATTAATAATCAAACGAATTCCAATCAATTTGGGAGTTTAGAAGATGTCATGAGTTCTCAGGAATTCAATGTAAAATCAACTTATAATCATCAACCAAACCTTAACTCATCAATATTATTACTTAGAAAACTTTTTATCAATGAGCGTATGCTTATTTCGTTTTGTTAATGGTGTTGAATTTGAAGAAAATCCTTCTATAAACCTTTTGTATTACCCAACTAACCCTAAGAGACTACGAACCTCAATCAGAGTCAGGTCTGTACCGAGTCTTTATGGAATCAATCTATTGTGTATCCACTACAATGCTTTCATATGATATAATGTGGCCTAAGAAAGCTATAGAGCCCAACCAGACCTCACACATATAAAACTTTGAATAAAGTTTTCGGTGTCGAAGAACTGAAGGAGTGCTCGCAGATGACTTTCATGCTAAGATTTTTAACGTGAATACACCAAAATAACGTCAATAAATACAATAACAAACAAGTCTAGATACAACCTGAATGTACTATTCATCAGGTTTATGAACACTGTTGGGGCACTAGTTAATCCAAAAGACATCACCAAGAACTCAAAGTGTCTATTTTTGGTTCTAAAAGTTATCTTTGGAATGTCTTTCTCCCAAACTCATATATGAAGTACCTTGATCTTAAACCAATTTTTGAGAAGCACTCAACACCTTGTAATTGATCAAATAAGTCATGCATACTCGGAAGGTGTTACTTATTCTTTATAATTGGCATATTTAGTTGTCGACAATTGATACACATTCTCATTGAGCTATCTTTCTTCCTCATGAATAACACTAGTGCAGCCCATGGGGAAGCACTATGTCTGATAAAGACTTTATCCAACAAGTCTTTCAACTGATACTTCAATTCATTTATCCCAACGAGAGCCATTCTATACGGAGGGAGAATAAGGGTTGTGTACCTAGTATCACATCAATAGTAAAATAAATATCCCATTTAGGAGGGATACCAAGAAGCTCATCCGGAAATACATTTAGAAACTCATAAACTACTGTAATAGATTGAGATTCAATGGTTTGACATCTATATCATGAACGCAAACAAGAGTGATCATCGTCCTTGCCTTAAGATAGGAAATAATCCTACCTTTCAGCGTTGATCTATCGCCTTTTAATTCCCAAACTACCTATCCTTGAAAGTGAAATCAAAAAATCTTTGTTCGGCACTTAATATTCGCATAAGAAAATGCTAACCAGTCCATACCCATAATCATGTCTAAATAAACCATCTTCAACTCTTTGAGTTCAATAAAGGTCTGACTGTTACAGAATCTCCTGGAATTAATAGTCTCACCAACTAGTGTAGATACCATAAAAGTTTGATCTAATGACTCTGCTACTATACAAATGAGGGAAGTCGAGCAATATAATACATAGTAGATCCAGGATCCATCAAATCATAAACACAATAGGAGAGAACTTTTAATTCACATGTCACAACATCTGGTGGTGAATCTAGTCCTGTCGGCTGGCTAGTGAATGTGTACAATTTGGCAACTACCATAACTAGATGCTCCCTCTCTACCTTTACCTGTTGAGTTCTAGGGTCCACACCCGATATCTTTTCTAATAAAAAGTAACTTGCTACTAACCTGGTCGACTTATCTATAGTCGGGAAGTTCCTCCACCAATGCCCCTCCTATCCATAAGAATAACACGTGAAACCCTACTTTCACCTCTTGAAATACATCCTACCTCAAGTAAAACAGCGTGACAGAGCTTTCCTTGCCTGACCTGAACCCTTCTATTGTTGAGAGCATAATGCTCGTGAACCATCACGTGGGCCTAATTGTCAATGACGATCAAATCTACTACCCTGAAACTGCTATGGTGGAGGTCTAGGTGGCCTTTTATAATATCGGGGTCTGGCACCACCCTGAAAAATATCCGTCTAACCAGCGGGCCTAGCCCTCTTGGCCACTCTCTCATCCCTCGCACTCATCTACTGTAGATGTTGGTTATCAACTATTATTCAAGCAAAGGAATGAATTCGTGAGATATCCATATTATCATTTACTGGAGCGGTAGAATAAGCGTTGATATAGTCTGAGTCAAGCCCTCCAAAATAATCTATGGACCATATTATGCATCAGATCAACAAAATTTGGTGCATGTCTAGAAAATAAATCAAATCTTTATCCCATACTCTCAGACGCTTAGGCTACCCTTTTGAAGGTTCAAAAAATGCTCCACCCAACCATCCCTAATCTATCGAGGCAATTAGTGATATATGCAAGCTTCTATAAAGTTATCCCAGGTGGGTAGAGATGCATATTTCCCCCTAAATCTCTCTAAACATTCTTACCACAATACTGCAACATCGTACAATCAAAATGTTTCCAACTCAATCGATGAGGCATGTGCCTGTGAAGATCCTAGAAGGATGATCAACAATGTCACAACATCAGAGCACCCCCAAGTTGTGAGGCGGCAAAATTGAACTCTCGGGGGTCTTATACAAGCCTCTTATCTTTCATTCAACACATAGGTACAAAAAGTAGTGTGGAATTATAACTTTTCACAATATAGTCAATGGAAACTCTTTCATAAAACAAAAGAAACGAGGTCTCATCATCACAATCCAACTTAGACACGTCTTATTATCATAGGGTAACAACTCTTAAATAGAAAAGAACGCATAGTCTAATACAAGTCTTTAATATAAACAAAACTAAACATAATCTTCTTCCTCGAAAATGTGAAGACGTACCAAGAGACTTGAGAGAGCTCTACTTCCCATGCTTCAACTTCTAGAGATCTTTAGTTCCTTCCATCTATACTTTTTGAAATATAGAAGAATATGGAGTTAGTACATTAAATGTACTATGTACGACAATATGCAAAACATGCTTTAAAATGGACACTTTAGTTGAAACATACTTTTCATGTTATTCTAGTAAAACCTCATAAATTAAGTGTACAAGACATCATATAAGTCATCATTAATATACAAGGAAATACTTCCATAATTCTCATCATATAACCATATTCATCAACTTATGCATAAATCATCTAAACCTTCTATCTCAAGTTATCCTAAGACTCACTTAAGTAAGAAATGAAGAAACCGCCCATACAACCACTTCAATACATACCTAAGTGATCCTTAAGACTACTAAAAATAAAGATACTCCATTCCAAATAAACAAGTCAACATTCATTACTTCGAGGAACATTCATTCATTTAAGAAATTCACATAAAGACCATCCTCTAAGACAACCCCCAAGTTACAATAGTGCAATGTGAAAGTAACATCCTATTCTACTACTCCCACTTAGTGCTCCTTAGCAATTAACCTAGACTTGGCACATAACATTCAACAATTTACATAGCTTTCATCAACACTAGACATTATATTAACATACTTAATTAACATTAGACCTATAATAAACATGCTTCATTAATCATCATATCCATTACCAATTTTCCTAGAGATTTAGGGTAACCATCCTCTCTAGTGAAAATCTTAGGGGAAACATAAAAGAGATTTGGCCATAGAGGCCTCTTTCTTTCTTCCAGCACTAGGGCAAGGTAGCCTCTAGGTCATTTCAATCCACATCACCTTTGGTGGAACCTTCTGTTGACACCCAATTTTGGACCTCTCGATAAATTAATTCACGAGCTCCTTAAATTCTAAGCGATTTAAAATAATTAATATTTTACGAAATTAATATATATATATATATATATATATATATATATATATATATATATATAT